TTTTTTTATTTTTCTCCAAATTCTTGGTTTAATAAGGACTTATTTTGAAGAAAAAAGGTCCCAAACATCAGGCTGTTCACAAAAATAACCCACAGTATCAACTTTAGAAAACAGATCTTAAGACTATAACACTAATTATTTTTCTAGAGGATGTATTTGACATGCCAACTCTCATTCACAAAAATACATCATTACATTTCTGTTGAACTGCCCCACACAGCACACTAATGTTGGGGTGTAACACACATACTTCTAACTCAAAGCTGCTTTCAGGAGCTACTCAACTAAATGAGATTGCCTTTGCAGTTAGGGAAGCAACTACTGAACATATGTATGAATGAAAAGAACTGTACTCCCTTCATAACAAGAGATTATTTTGGAGACAGTTGATAAAAACCATACATCCTTTTTATTGTTAAGTCATAATGAGGTATCAAAATTAAAAGCAAAAATTACAGGGTAAGACTTAACTACTAGGAGCATCAAAGGAAGTGAAAATGGGACTACGTGCAGGGAAATGTGAATTAATGAACATGGGAAGGACAAGGATGGGGAGAGCAGTGAGCATGTGCTGAAGATACTAGGGTAGAGGATCTGGTGAAAAATTTGATTTTAGACAAGCGCCTAGGTAAAGAAATAATGGGATAAGATTTCTAAACCCCACTATGTGCTTAAGAGTCATCGTCTCCTTCTTCAGCCTCTTTTTCATCATCCAGTAGGTCACCCTCCTCAGCAGAGTCATCTGCAGCCCCGAGACTCCATCTTCACATTAGTCTCATCTTTCTTCATGGAGCTGCTGCTCTGCTCCTCTTCTGACTTATTATTCTTCATCTCTACTGCTTGTTTGCTCTGTTCCTTTTCAATTTTTTCCAGGTTTTCCAGGAGAGAATCCACTTTTTGTTTTATCTGGGTCAGTTCCTTCTTAATGGCCTGAAGGTCATCTCCTTTCAACTTTCCAGACTTGGAAGATCCCCGCTGTCCACTCTTAGAATTGAAGCCACTTTTGCCTCTTGGTGAGGTGTTTCCTGATACACACTGACGTTTCGAGGGCACTACAGCTCGAGCAATAGGAGCAGGAGGAGGTACACGTGCTGGGTAGCTGTACATCCTATCATAATAATCCCATTGAAAGTCATAGTCCAAGTCAAAAGAGGAGCCGTACATCTCCGCTGCAGATCGTTTCACACCTGCTTTTCCTTGGTTCACTTTTGGCTCTGCAGCCAGGTTAGTATCTAAAACCTGGCCAGCAATCATTCTGCCATCCTCTCCTGCTGCAGCAGCCTGGGCATTTCTCTCATTAACATATTGAATGAAGGCAAGGCCCTTATGAACAGAGCAGCCCACAATTTTGCCATACTTTGAAAAGATTGCCTCTACATCAGATTTCTTGACCACGAGAGTGTTGAGATTCCCTGTGAACACACGGGAGTTCATGGAGTGAGGATCTGTCTTGTTGGTAACGTTGCTCGCCATTGTGTTTGATGATAAGGTCTCTCACAAAGCCGAAAACAGGAGGGAGGAGGGAGAAGAGATTCGATTCTGAGTCTCCTACTCCTGGGTTCTACGTGGAGAAGCCGACTGCTGCTTGAGGTCGGCAACGCGGACACAACTGCTCAGTCTTCATCTCTTCACAAATGCTTTTTTTTTTTTTTTTTTTAAAGATGGGGTTTCACCATGTTGGCTAGGCTGGTCTTGAACTCCTGACCTCAGGTGATCCACCCACCTCGGCCTCCCAAAGTGCCAGGATTACAGGTGTGAGCCACCACGCCCAGCCAAAAGTGTATTCTTTATAGTTCTGAATTATACTTTCTAAGTTTGGAATGTACATGGAGAGAGCATTTAAGTTTAGCCTTTTTGTGCTGTTTAGTAGTTTTTCTACTTTTAACTCTATTTAAAAATTTTAAACTGTGA